TAAGGTCGTTTGAGGATCTGTTCCTCAGGGGTCACATGGGCTTGGGAGGAGCTCCTGGCTCCTTTCTTTTACCAGTTCCAACTATGTAAAGATAAGTCAAAGATCCTACTCGACCATGGCTGGCTTCACTTGGAAGTATGGAGGAAATATTTCCTCTGAGTTAACCTTCCTCTTTGTAGACTGGACTCTGGTTCACATCTGCTGGGGTCTCCATGGCCTCCCTGAAAAGGAGGACAGGTGACTCCCCACAATTACGGGACATTTTGAGAGATGTTCTTAGTCCCCTGGAACTAGTCGACCTAGGAGGGCAAGGAGCAAAAACTGTCCTTTATGTACCTCTGACCAAATTATTATAGGCTTCAAAGTATGTCTGTTAAACATCCAAGAAGGTTAGTTCCACCAGTCTGGTACTTTTAATTACTGTGTGTCATGTAGATAAATCTTGGGCAAAGACCAGTTGTTCTCAGATAAACCTTATCTAGACATATATTTTTTGATCTGCTGTGTATAATTTGTTAGTAGGTTGTTGGAGTAATACTGTTTTTTGAGGCCTGACTGGTCTGCATAGTGAGTTCCAGGCCAGCTACCTCTACAAGAAGACCCTGTCTTGGCTAACTAAGCCTGGTATTGAATTCATTTGGGGAGTTTAAGGACCTCTTTTTTTTTTTTTTTTTAATAATTTATTGAGAATTTCATGCATGCATATAAGGTGTTTTGATCAAATCCATGCCCACTCTCCCCTACAGCTCCTCCCATATCTCCCCATCACTTTTTTCTGATAACTTCATGTACTCTTTCTTCTTCTTCAACTTTTTTTTTTTTTTAAATTTTATGTGTATGAGGATGTTGCCTGCATGTATGTGAGTATACTCGTGTCATGCAGTGCTGCGGAGGTCAGAAAAGGGCTTCAGATTCCCCTGGAACTGGAGTCAAGGATGGTTTGTAGCCGCCATGCAGGTGATGGGAATCAAACCCAGGTCCTCTGCAAGAGCAGTCAGTGTTCTTAACTACTGAGCCATTTCTCCAGCCCCTTTTTATTTATTTTTATGGGGCCTTTTGGCTACTCTAACATTCCCCCTCTGAAGAGGTAACCCTAAATTCTTTTAAGGATTAGATACAAGCTCCCAAATACTTTTGACATTTTTGGCCTTTGGAACAGAGTATATTGCTAAGAGGCCCAAGGACATTTTGACTTTTAGCCAAGAAACTGGCTCTTTTTCTTTAGGGTCTTTTTACCCTAACTGCCTAGCCTATTCTTACCTTCTATTCTTACCACACCATCCTCTGAAGAGGTTACCCAAATTCCCAATACATAATTGGGACGCAGACCGCTCTGACTTCTTCCATGCTGAATAGGGACACAGGGTGAGATAATTGGAGTACCCCTTCAGTGGGTCTATCTAAAAGACTCCCAAATTCCATAATTCTTATCTCTAAGGGGAAAAGAATGTCCTTGACTCATCAATAGGAAATGTGAAGGAGAAGTAAAGGCAAGAGTAATTAGCATTATAAGTTCTAGACAGGAAACTAGATAAAAATCAGAACATGGCAATTTTCAGATGTTCATATGAGAGTCTTTTGGAATTCTTGACAGGGCTTCCAAAAGCATCCCTTTATTGGCTTCCTCATTTTTCTTTTGTCTTCCAAGGCTGGACTCTAGAGTGATGGATTCAGGATTTGCTTTCAGGTATTTTGATACCTGTTGGAATGGTTAGAATCAGCATCTGTTCCCTCTCAAAGGCTTCTAGATAGAGAACATCATTTTAGAACAATAGCTGGTTGTCTCCCTTAAGTACAGGTGGGCCCTACAGGATTCGAGACCATGATTTGAAGTCTTACATCTGAGCAGCACATTCTAGTTAGGAACAAAATCATCAATGAGAAATAATTGTCTAAATAATTTTTTTAATGTTTTATTTATTATTTTTTATTTTATTGTATGTGTATTGCCTGCATGTAGGTAAGTGTACCCGTGTCGTGCAGTGCCTGTGGAGGTCAGAAGAGGCCATTGGATCCCCTGGAACTGGAGTTACGGACAGTTGTTAGCTGCCATGTGGGTGCTGGGATTCAAACCTGGGCCTTCTGCAAGAACAGCCAGTGTTCTTAACCGCTGAGCTATCTCTCCAGCCCCAAAATAATATTAATTATTTTTATGTGTATGAGTATATTGCCTGCATGTAGGTAGGTGCACCCATGTTGTGCCGTGCTCGAGGAGGTCAGAAGAGGGCGTTGGATCCCTGGGAACTGGAACCATTTTGAG